AGCCTGACGACGATAAAAATTTGAATTCGATCAAATCAACGCATACTCGATTCTCACAATCATTGATATACGCGAAGCATGGAGCGCGAACAAAACGTACAGCAACGAGGAAAGTTTCGAATTTTCCATTTCAACTCGGAAACGACGCGATCCTCGACGATAAATTATTCAACGAGATGCGAGAACGTTTTATTCGGATTCGTTTGAAATATTCATTATCGGTTGAAACGGATCCATTATGCGAGCACTCGCGTTAAAAGAACCGATCGATGGGTACGAAAATGCTGTAATATTTGAAATAAGACACCCTTTCGTAATTTCATTTTCAGCGAAAGAAACTATTCCAACGTAACCGGGGGCCGTAAATCCTGTGGGCGTGAACGTATGCGGTTTCATGTTTTGGACAACGGATCGCATGCCGCGTAACGGCGACGCCATGTCGTCCAGGGAAAGTAAACGACGTTAATTAGTATCGATCGTCTGCTGCGTGACGCCCGAACGATGTTGCCCGGGCAAAATATAATTAATTGACCTGGCAATTACCGAGCTTCTGACTTGGTTACTCGATGCGTGCGCGACCTCTCATCGTCGCGATACCGTTTCGGCCCGGTGTTGTTCTTTTCGGCAGAGTTGGGCAAAAAATTATGCTCGAACGTAGACATGTCGCGTGGCAATTTATTCGAATCGTACATCATTTAAGAAATATACTTTCGTTTCATAATTCAGATCGCAATATTCGTTGAGGAAATAACGGACGAAGAGTATTCGGATAAGAAATTTGCCCATCTCTGGTTTCTCGTTTCTCTGTGAGCGACTGTAGCGTTCCGTGACACGAGAACGAGAGTCGCGTCGATAAAGGGCCACAGAGATACGCGAGCTTGTCGACCCTTGACATTTCGCTGAAAAGTTTAATAAACGTTCGGTGCTCCCATGCCACTCGGGAACGAACAGGATATACATGTATATATATATATATATATATATCCGATATCTGGACGTTAAATCTCGGTGCTCGTCGGTATCGTTTGAAAAGCAAGAGCGACAAGAAGACATCGAAAGGAAGCGAGCCAAGTGGAAACGGAAGGAGGTGGAACGAAATGGGGCGCAGAGGTGTGATAGGTGAGGATCGTTTCGCGAAACGGATCCGCTGATGAATTCGAGGCTTCAAGCGACAAGATAGTGCGTTTGTAATACGATACAGCCAACGTGAAAACGCCTCCGCGATGTTGTCCCAGAGGGATGCCCGTTCAGTCGAGGAACCCGGTGTTGACCAGCTTCTCAAGGAAGAACTTCACGTCGCCCAACTCCGAGTCTTTTATTCCGATGGATTTTAGCATACCCAGATCGCCATTCTCCACCGCCATGAATACCGAGCGTAGGTGCTCGAGATCGGAGCGCATCAGGTGCAGGGCGGCGCCAAAGTCTTCGATCGTCTGCGATTCTGAGAACGCGGATTCGACTCTGTCAGATCTAACGATACTATTCCTATTACTAGAGGCGCCTTACCAGACGGTTTGCTCGGTTATTCAATAATTACTCCAACTCGGTTTTCAAACTCATCGGACGCGCCGCGTTTGTCGGTTACAGCGAATTAACTTACCCGAAAGTGCTATAGCCACCATGTCCACTCCACCGAGCGGTTTCAGCGTGTCTCGCGCCTTGGTCCCGAACAATTTCTCGAGATAATTAGGTCCGTGTCCTGCCAACAGCGACTGCAAAAAACTAGCAGTTTCCTCTACCGGCGGTCTTTTAGCTGGAACATAAAACGAATAGCTCGGATTACACGTTTACAAATACGTAATACTAAGATATCAGGGAAAGGCTCCAGCTAAAAAAAATTCAAATTTTCTATTCGAGCAGCAACACAAGGTTGTTTATCTTTTATTCGTGATTCGAGTTTCCAATCTGTATCAAAGTTTGTCCCATCTCGGTTATCTAGTATCTTTTATTACGAATGTTCCGTTCTACGACCGAGTTGATAAACGTTGCGCGAACTCACGAACGTAACGAAGTCACGAAGCTACTTGTGATTTACACACTTGTGATTGGCGAAACAACGCTGCCACTTTCAGGCTGACAACGAGATGTTTTAACGAGCAACCGTGCTGTTGATGGGTCAATCTAGTGATCGTAACTCGTAATAGATGGGCAAATAGTAGCGCTGAACGAGCATAAATCAGCCCTCGTACGGACCGTGCGTGCTCGATGGCTACGCGCCATATGGGTAACATCCTTGTACCCGTTATCCATAGAAAATGAAAAATTCAAAAATCCAAAATTAAAAATTTACCGAGAAACTAGCTATAATTATCGTCTAACGATATTACCAGCGGTGCACAGTCGCGTATCTTCGTCGTAACCGTCCTGGCAATCCGGGGCTCCGTCGCAGAGGTACTGAATCGAGATACACACGCCGTCTCCAGGGCATTTGAACGGCTCGTACGGACGGCAAGCGCTGTCTGTAACACGTACAATAAGTATTATTTATTCGGAGACGAGCGAAACTCTTCTCTAGACGAAAGAAGGAAAGACAAAGTTTCATTCGTTATAGAACGAAACGTTTCACTGGGAACAAGTAACGTTAACGCAAGCGTAATTTTCTTTCAAACACTTAGCAATGCGAGATGTGTGCATAGTACGAGGTGTACTTAAGAAGAATACCATGTATGCGATGCATATATACATGTTACATGCGCGTGGTAAATGGCAACGACCAAATTAGTATACACAGACGGTAATTATCGGTAGCGATCAGCGTGTCTGATATTGACCGAGCGATATTAAAGAGGGAGAGCGTAATCTCTTACACGCGACACAATGCTACCACGAACGTTTTTCATTCGCTATAATTGAATAGACATTAACTTAATTGCTTCGCAGAATCTATTTGTCTTTCCCGTTCCAATTAATATAACGTCACGCGTTCAACCACGAAACATCAGTCGAGAAAGTAATTGGTGCTTTGCTCGTTACCGCGACCGAGTTAACGATGTTTATCGATCTCGAAGAAATTTACCCTTTAAACGACGGTTATCACATGACGCGATTCAGCTCTGCTTACTGACGAAACGGATGACAGTCTACTCATTGAATTGAATAAACTACGAACACCGTATCACGAAGACGAATCGTGATACGCTGACTACACCACGTGGCTTCAAATTGCCACTTAGACGACGCTGCCTTAAATCGTTACAATAAATTGTATAAAGATGTACGTACACTGTTACATCTCAGGTTCACCGTTCGAAAATCTCACTCTCCTCGGGAATAGAAGAAAGACACATCGCGGAGGAATTCTTTTATATCCGAATGCGAATTACTCGTGACGAATGAACTTTCCTTATTCTAAAACCATTTGTCACTGTTCGCGATAGTAGTTAATAGAATAATGAAAAAAATGCGCGGGACAGACGGTGCGACACACAAGGGAAGCGTAACGACGATTCTCGAGTGAACAATCGTGGTTGAATTCGAATTCGATTTTAGGCTAAGTTCGAGACGGACACGGCGACTTACCTGTACGCTTCGAGTGCATGTGACCGTAAAATCGACTCAACTCGATCGCCATGACGGCACGCGGAAAAACAACGCATGTACTTAGGGCGAGGCTAAGTGCAGCCACGCTAGTGCAGAACCTTTGGACCATTCTCAGCCGGAAAACGGTTAACAACTCTCTCGATGAGCGAGTTCACGCGTTCTACGCTTTTCGTTTGCTCGCCGATATACAGAGCCTACCCCTTTAGACGGCGACACGACGGATAGCGAGTCTCGAGCCTTGACTGTCTCGAGCTTGTTCGGGAAGGGATGGTTGGTAAATCGAGGCGATTGTTCGCGCACCGACTCCTCCAAGGAGAACACGAGTAGGATCGTTTGCCTCCACTCTTCCTTCTTTCGCTTTTTTCTCGTTTACACAGCCACCCACGTCTATCTTGGACTCCGAGTGGCTGGCGCGTGACACGGGGTGCACAGGCACTGTGAGTGTGAACACACCTTCGTACGTACCGTACATGCCATACCAAGTACGTATCGAGATCCCCCACTCTCCCAGGACACCTCGATCGCTAGTGGTGGGGGCGCACGCAGGAACGCGTTCGGCCAATCGATTCGCAGGTCTCGCTGGACTCGACCAATCACCATTCGCGACATCAAACGGTTTACCCTGAAACACCCACGCGACCCTTCACTGCCGAGTCGCATCGATTTCAACCCCCCTGCGCCCTTGCGTAACTTTTGTTTATCGTTAGAACGCTGCGTTTACGTCGCGACAGGAATACGCGGACAGGATAGAACCTGCCGTGGCGTCACTGTCACCTACCAGGATTAAAGGGTTCCGAGAATTTCGAGGAACTTCCACCGAACAAAAATCTCTCGTTTTTCATGCCAACCATTTTCAACCCTGAGATCATAGAACTTACACATTTTGTACACTTTTGACCTCAGGGCGCCAAATTAACATCGAGAAATACAAAAAACAATGGTGTCATCAATTTTTTGCTAATAGCAATACTTCCCTTTCGATAACAACCGAAAAAGTTACGACACAGGAAATATTGCTGATTGCAAAAATTCAATCTCCTCGATGTTTGTTTTATACTTTTCAGTGTTTTTAAGCGCCCTGGGGCTAAAAATGCAAAAGATAAAATTACAAAATTCTGTACGCGTGTATTTTACTCTCTGTTTTGCTTCACATTTTGTTCATCGGAAAATCATGAAAATAAAGAAAAAACGAGACAATCTAATATGCAACAACTCTGTCAACTTTGTCAACATCGCAAACAATTATAACCTTCACGTAATTAAGCTAAAACTTCCAACACAGCAATTTTAGCGACGATCCGTGTTTGAAAATGCATAGTGTATCGCGCGACTCGATTAATTTTTAATGCATTATTCATGTTCATCGATAACAAAAACTTAAAATATTGAACGCGACTCGGTATAAGAAGCCAAGCTGGCAATAAACATTGCATTCTCGGTCTTGACATCGTCTCTTATATACATATAGTTAATTGGATTTGCGATCGGTTTCGGTCGATAAATTGCTCAATACTTTGTGTTGTAATATTTTACGTAATAGTATAACGAGAAGCTCCTAATTGCAACGAGATAAAATACGTACGCCCCAAGTTTACGCGTAGTTACTCTAGACACACGAAAATGTCAACGTAATTTTTTGAATTTGTAGTTAATTTTAAAGGTACGATCGAAACGTAAATCGAGATTTATCGTGCGCGTCTGTTTTAACAGAGTTCTTAGCCAAGGCTGCAAATTTCACGGAACCAGTGGAAAAAGTCAATCATAATTAATTGCAATGTGGTACGCTTACGTATTTTACGAGCATCCAAATTTTACGGTTAATAACATAGACTATTTTTAAATAAACATATAGCTCGTCTGTTATAACGTTAAAATACGTCTATCGCATTCGGACAATGAATATGCATACATTGTTTAAATTTTAATCTTGTTTTTTTAGTTCAGTTACGTTTTATAAATAATATTATACCTCTTATTCTTCTATTACACGCGAATGCATACAAATACTGCTATGCCGTTTGAAGATAGCAATACCTGAGAATATATTGCTACAAACGTACAAACCTGACACTTCCGCGTTAACTTCATATCGTACATAACCTATGAAAAATATTGATAAATACGTATGCGTTTCGAGTACGTAGCCATAATTAGCGTTCAAACGATAGATTTTATATTGTTACAGAATGAAAATAATAGAATAATTAACATGAAATAATGTTGATATTACTTCCTATGACAATTTCATCGACAGAAACACCAAGAAATCGAATAAATAGATGAAAATGTGTCGGTCAGAATTTTGAAGGAATCAACAGAATGGAGGATCTGAAACTTAAATTCCTTGGTCTCATTAATAAACAGGTAATCAAATCTCTGTTAAAATGATCACAATTGAATAATCTATTGCTTTGTACGCAATAAGCGTGTGAGTGCAAGCGTCGTTCTTATTATTTGCTGGTGCTTTAGGTTATGTTGCATAGATTTCGAGTGCGATAAAGATGGACAAAATTTTGATTCCTTATTTATCGTTCAGGTGAAATTCTGTTCATCTATGATTTATCGATGTTTCATGCAGTATTCTATGAATTCCTCTGAAACTTTTTCTTGTTATTGTTTAGAATGTCACCAAGGTTCCTGTCATGGGTTTACATTCGGATCTGCTCGATCCGCCAGAGTCCCAAAAATTGGAAGACATACATTCAGAAGCTGACCAATCGACAGAAAGCGAACCCATCCCTGATCAAGACATCTTAGAATCCATCGAGGACATTTATTTTAACACGGATCATAGCTTTGATTCTAGTAGACACGAGCTCGAAAAGTTACCAAAGATCTTACAGTCTAAAGAGATCGAAAAGTGTTACAAGAAACTGAAGCAGCAGCATCAAGTAGTTTCCAAGAAAGTTTTACAACTTATTTTGCAAAAGCAGAATGCATGCAAAAAAGAATTCGAGAAAATTTTACTGATACAAGAGCAACTGCAAGACATACTAAAAATATGTAGAATGGGAAGAGCAGACTTGAAATTAGCTGAAAAGCAATTTACGACGGCCAGCTTAGGAATATTAGCGAATTATCAAAAACGACAAATTGTGGAAGAGTTGTTAAATAATTTAAACACTATAAAGACATTGGTATGTTCATTGCGATATTAAATTACATGACTTACATTATTGATAAAACCAAGGTGTAATAAGTCCTTACCTTTTTTTTGTAGCAACGTACGGGAGATCGATTACAAGAGCTTTTAAGTGAAAAAAATTATCCCAGAGCAATCTCGTTGCTTTTAGAATGTCAAAGCGCCGCTCAGACATATAAACATTTTCATTGCATCGCTGCTTTAAATGGAAAATTACAAGATATTTTAGAACAAGCAGAGGAAGCATTGGACGTTACGCTCTCGAACATGTGCACACAGTTCGATGTAGCGATTTATACATCGATACAAGAAGCATATTCTTTATTAGGAAAAACTCAATCAGCGATAGACCAACTACACATGCATTTCACCGCAGCGATCCATAATACCGCCTTTGCAGCTGTTCATTCGTACGCGGGTGGAGACACAAAAAGGCAGTACAAACAACTCTGTCAATCGGTGCCTCGCGAAAGTTGCATCGCTTGTTTAACCGAATTATGTAAATCGCTCTGGACGATATTAAGCTCCTACTACCTGGTAGTAAGTTGGCATAATACGCAAGAAAATAAAGTTAAATTTGATCCCGACGTTAAAGATTTCGAAGGGACTTTTTGCAAGGAATATGTAAAACATAAATTAGGAAACAGTATGATTCGAATATGGCACGATGTTGAAATGAAAATATCGATATTTTTAATGAACACTGATTTAACTTACATTAAATTCGAACAGTTCGTTCAAGTTCTTGGTATAGTTAACAGATTAATGGAAATCGGAGAAGAATTGTGTGGTTTTAAATCGGAGAATTTACAAGAATCTATACGAAAACAATCGTTATCATATTTTTCTCATTATCACGCGTCGAGACTAGACGAACTCAGAATATTTTTAGAAAACGATGGGTGGGAATTGTGTCCCCTCAAATCTAACTTTGTAGCGACTCAATTACAGGAGTTCAAAAGTTTGAAGCCGTCGTTGAATATCTGTAAAGTATGGAATAGTTTAGATAACTCGAATGTTAGCGAGTATGATAGTCCTATAGGAATAGAATGGGTTCAAAAATATTTAGAAGGAGGCGTGTCTCCATTTTCCATAGGTTTAGACGATACAATGGACGAAGATATTTTGGTAAAAAATGAGGTATAGCTTCTTCATTGTTTCGCGTAAAATAATTTATATTATGATATATCATATGACTGATGAAATATGTATTATCTAGGATAATCCACCAGGATACTATTCGGATGAATCCGACGATGACATCCCTGAAGAATTGAAACACGATTTCGTCGATGACTCGGATCACATTAAAACAAATAAAAAGAAATGCAAATTGAAACAATCAGGACCCATGGTCACGAACACCACCTTAAGTATATTGCGTGTGTGTGGAAAATACCTACAAATGTCCAGACTTCTGCGTTCTATCGCGGTTACCGTAATACAAAGTATGATACAATTTTACGAGCTGTGTTTCTACACTGTGCATTTATTCTTTACTTCGGATCTTCAAATAAATAGCGACTCGCTGTACAGTCCAAAATTAAAATTATCATTGGCAAGAATTAAAGAGAACTTAATAATTTGCGAGAACGATACAGAGGATAACATTAAATCGAACTCTGACAAAGTTCGACAACCGCAGCTCTCTTCGATCGTAAATTTGTCGCAACCAGAAAGACTTCACGGTTTGACTGAACGCATCGTAGCAGTGGAGTCTTTGATATTCTTAGGGCAACAATATGAAGGCTTGAAACCGTATCTAGAACATCTTATCGCGACCAGTCCCCAGCGTGGATTTCTTCATCAATTTTATATGCAAACAATAGCGTCGACAACGGATTTAAGAAAGCCAGTATATATGGCGGTCGCGTCGCAAGCATTCGATGTTGCAAACATTTTAATTTTAATGAACAAGGTCAATTGGGAGGTAACAGATGTTATGTCTCAACATAGCGGTTACATCGACGCGTTACTTCAAGAAATATTCATCTTAAACGAAAGGCTGAAGAATATTGGAAACTGTCTTCCTTTGTCGGATGATGTATATAACGCTGTCTGGGAAAACGTTGCACATCTGATAACCCACACTCTGGTAGAAGGATTCTCTAGCGCTAAAAAGTGTTCAAACGGAGGTAGAGCATTGATGCAACTCGATTTCACGCAATTGAAGTCGAAATTCGAGACGTTAACTTGCTTGAGGCCGATGCCGCATAGAGAATACGTCGAATTATATATCAAAGCATATTACCTTCCAGAAAATAGTTTGGAGGAATGGATAAAAGAACATAAGGTAATTGGCAAAATAATATTAGTTTATGAGTCATTATGTCGACAGTTAGTAATTAAATTAAATTAAATTAAATCCTCGTGGATATTTCATTTGCAGGAATATTCTGTCAAGCATTTAATTGGTTTGATATCTTCAGCGTGTCAGAATAATAAAAAAACTCGACAAAGATTAATAGCGCTTATAGAAGAACAGCGCCCGAGTAGATAGCATCAGGATATACATTACAGTACATCTCAAGACTATGTCGAAATAGGAATTGCTTGAAACACGAATTCTTAGAGATAGCTAACGCAAGAAGAGAAATGTATTTTTTCCGTGTAAATATTCGGAAAAATGTTATACCGCTGAAGTAAGTGGCCCGACTTAATACCTCTTATTTTCATGACAATTTTCTTTTTTAATTCATCTTGTTTAATCGATATGCGTGTCTCGGATCCATCACATGACTTCTAATAGATCTGTTGAAAATTAGTTTGTAAAGGTTAAAGGAATATGTGATAACATTCGAAATCTAGTATTGCTGGGATATGCATCGTTAAATCTAAGTAACATCGAATAATTAAGTGAATGTAGATGACGAATACTAATTCTGTGTAACAAGTATCTGGTAAATTTGCATCGTGTATGGGCCGCTTTTCGTATAAAAATGATAAATACAATCGTGTACTTTTCAATCTGTATAATAGGAAACGTATAAAATTGTTTACAGTATTAGCGAGATTCTGAACGAAAGATGCGTGAACTTTTAATTGGATCTGTTAACGGTAATGACTATATGTTTGACTCACGTTTTTTTATACTCTAGTTTAATAGTCGTCAACATTGGAAGGTTAGGAGTTGCTAAAAATTTCGTAATATTCGGTCAGCTACACGTTGAAATCTTATAATTAGTGGCGGATTATTCATTCACGGCACCTGAAGTGCAAGCAAAGTTTGGAAGACCCGTTTAATATTTTAAAATATTGAAATTTGAATGAATAAATAGAACAAAGTTGTAAATATCGAATAATAAAGCAAAAATATATAAAAAGTGTGTGCACGGTTTTAATACACAGTTACCAGCGTGTCCATTTAGATTTGCAAAATGAAATAATAATTTTTGTTTATTCACTCATAGAATAATCTGCCATTGCTTATATATACGCATGTGTATATGCGCACGTATGCATAATATGTAAATGACAAACAAGGATGAAATTATGTTGAAATTAAAGATTTGTACTTTTAGAATATACATACATATACGTAAATTAACACGAGCAGCTAAATTTGTTTCTGCAATTAACGGCTGGCGACCACTGCTTTAGTCGTTATAGAAGCGGAGATGTAAATATTTTACTTCGTATTTGTTTTATTTTTATAGATCTTTTCATATATATATGATTATTTCCTATAAAAATATCTTTTAAGTATGTATTATTTCTTACGAAAACTATAACTTCTATAAAATATGTCAAAGTTACGACTCGATATTTTTTGTGGTTCGAAATTTGTAGATCAAACGAAAACCACACTCTGTCATTCTTTTAATTGGGTACTTGGAAAAATTTTATAATGTATTTTAAAAACGATTTATAAATATCAGGTGCAATTACAAATATTTTGTTCAAATATATATCTTGCATTTTGAAAAAATGCTCTTATAATTTAAAGGTGTCTTTATTATACAAATAATAATAATAATATTAATAATAATTTTATAATAATAATATACAAGTACATATATTATTTCCAGGTTCAGCGGTTTCCAATTTTGTAAAAATTACCGTTATTTATCTATATAATATTTACTGTAGTAAATTACACTTATTGTATTTTACTTGTACTGAGAACCAAAAAATTCTATTGCACCTTTAGTTGCTACTCGTAAATATGTTTTGATGTTCATATTAACAAGGACAAACATAGTTTTTTGTTAGCAAACAACTTTTTACATCTGAAAAATTGATATAAAACGATAATCGATTAACGCTTACATCGTATGAAGATGACTAACCATCTTCTATTTGTAGATTAAAAAGTATTTTTGATGTTTCATATGATTTTTGTGAAATGAAACAAACAATTCTCTGAAAGCAATTTTTCTATATGTAAAAATGAGATTTTCTAACTGTGGCTATCGTTACGATACAACTGAAAAAAAAATATTTCTTCTATTACTTTTTTTATTAATGTAATTGAATAGTATTCATCGATGTCGGTGCATTGAGAATTCTCTGGCTAATAGTATAGATCAGCGTTTCTCAATCTTGAACTTTGTGGATCGTTATCATTGACTAAGTAAAATTTATCGTTGGTAAAAAGACAATTATATTTTCTAAATCTACGTGTGATCTCTCTGAAACGTTTAATTATGTATGAAACACAGATTCTTTAAATCTTCGCCAATTTCCAAAAATTAAAAATGATCCATGGAGTAAATGTTGAGAAACCCTGATAATTTATTGAAATAACTGATTCTCTTCCTTACTCCAAAGCGCTTTATATTGAGCCCTGCATTCTGAATGGCCCCTGTTAAAACAAATTGTTGGAAAATATAGAGGATAGTACATATAAACTGAACAATGGACATGGCGATATCAAATGCTTACTTTGACAATAAATCTGTTTGACGATGTTATGTACTAATATTATGTTAAGATGTATGCTATAATATAATAACAACTATAAAATTTGCATACGTCTGCGTTTTCCTTCTTTCTTTCTTTCTTTCTTTTTTTTTTTTAGTAAAATCAATATCTTGATTACAAATGTTTTTGTTATTTCACACTAAAGAGAGAAGGAATAAATATATTGTTATTACTATGAAATTCGCCTTCTCGTTAAATATAGAATTACTAAAATATTAATTGCAAATAATTTAATTACCGCTTGTAAGACTTGTCTGATCTCAGGCTTTGGAGATTTCTTACTGTAATACGTACTCTATGGTTATATCCGCGTAATAACAAACTGTCGTACGATTTATTAAAACTCAGTTACTCAAAGTGATCAACACGAATGAAAACCAGTTTTCCGTTAGTTTTTAAGTTAGTAATTCTTAGTGACAAATATATCGAATGTTAAAAGTTATTTGCAATTATAAAGTAACACGTAATTACACGTATATTATTTTTCTATAATAGAAAATTCCAATCGATGAAATTCATATTTTCCCCAATTTCGATCCTCCGAATTTTACTTCGGTCCAGAATCTACTTATCATTTCGCGATATTCAATCATTTTTTTTTTGTTTGTTTGTTTTTTAATAACAATAACTAGTTTCCAACAAAGCTACTCGTGTTACGATTATTCCGTCTCTTCAAATACAATTAAAACAAAGGAAAAACAAAAATGACGCAACATTATATACCTTTCGTATGAACACAAAACTGATGGTAACGATGTAGTATAAACATGTATAGCCATAGAGCACTGTTCAGTACTAATGAACACATATAGGAATAGTACATTACTTTTTTTTTCCAAAGCCTGTTCACGACCGTTAAACACGAGTTACGTAATTGTTTTGCAAATTATTTTTCATTAAACGTGACACTTAACGTTAATGATACAGATGCCAAAAAAATGATTCTGACAAACTTATGCGATCCGTTAAAATCTTAATGCCTTAACGTAATTGTGGAATGCAAATAAAATGTCGATATAGCAACAGACTGAAAGGGTAACATACCATTGTTACTTCGTTTTAGTCATAACGTGTATTCTAGTTTTATAAACGTATGAAGTTCGTAAAAAACAGAATTTTGAACGACGATAAAAATTTTTTCGTCGAATTAGTAGTAGACGTTGTTAAATACGTTTATCATTCTTATCCTATAGATTAATATTTAAGAAGAAAATAAAGTGAGATTCGCAAAAAACATGTTCTGACTCTTTCCCTTGCAATCTAATTCTAGTTTCGCGTTATCTGACCACTTAACTGGTAAACAATATTGGCAGATTCAATGCTGTTACGTTATTAGTAACATTGTTCCTACTTTCCTCTCCTGTTTTATGTTTTGAGCTCATAATAATAACAGATTAGAAACGTTGTATCATATTAAATCCTATGGTTTGCCATTTGTGCGTACAGAACAACTCCATCGGTATGTGTACGTGTGGTTTCGTGCATTTAATGCACCCTAATGAAAGTAAGTAGCAAAAAGCTATACGTGGAATTACGAGTAATTTTTGAAGAAACAAATCGACCGATTGAATTGGAAGACAATCAAGAAAGAAAAAAAACTAATGAAACTGTAAACATACTTTTAAAGCAATGGCTTAATACAACAAGAATTTATCGATGAATAGTATCTTGGTGCTAAATGGAGCCAATAATGTAAGTGCTTTGAATGTTTACTCACATATATCGATGAGATTATATGTATGAATATTACGTGATACATATTACATAGCGCTGACAATAACCAATGAATAATTAACCTCGTGTCTGCATCTTAGGCATGGCTCTTTAAATTAGTCATTGTTTAAGTGATCGTTTTAAATTGAGAAGATAATTTTGCAAATGTATTCCTTGATACCATAAACGGCTCATCATTTTTGTATTCACTTACAAATGGTATCCCGTAATGCGGTACACGCACGCATATACATATATATAAATTATAGTAAAATGTTGAACATGATAATCTAATCGATAATATTGTAATAACTATTTTCATGGACTTCGATAAACAGTTAGTAACAAAGTCTATATCTTTTGGTACTTGGATAAATTTCTATTTATATAGTATTAGTATTACTGAAACGCATAATTCGATATTAATGGTTGTGTTACATTTGCTGTTGTACGCTCGAGACGATATCGTTTCTCTCACGGATCTTTACGATCATTGTCAGTTGCATTACAGAGCCTCTACACGATAAATAAAAATGGAAATACAAAGCAAACGTACATTCTTGGTATGTGGCTAATTGATGAAAAATAAATATTTGCTCATAATTTATGATTACTGGTCAACCATGTAAGGCCTTCGTAAAGCCCATCACCAGTTGTGGCACACGATGGTTGAACATACCAATTCCTGTCTCGTATCCTAGTTAAACCCAACTTTTCTTGTATTTCGTGTGGTTTCATTGCTAGAAATTGTGAGAAGTTTTACATGTAATGCAATGTATATAAATTTACCCATTTAGTTTATAAATATTAATACTCACCATCAGGAAGATCTTGCTTATTCGCAAAAATTAAAATAATAGCATCTCGCATTTCTCTATCATTTATAATTCGATGAAGCTCTTGACGTGCTTCATCGATTCGGTCTCTGTCAGCGCAATCTACTACAAAAATAAGTCCTTGTGTTCCAGTATAATAATGACGCCATAACGGACGTATTTTATCTTGTCCTCCAACATCCTAGCAAGAAATTAATATTTCAAAAATTTGCACTTCCATTGGAATATATAAAAATTCTAAATGCGTATCTTACCCAAACATTGAACTTGACGTTCTTATAGGTAACCGTTTCTACATTGAATCCTACAGTTGGTATAGTTGTTACAGACTGTCCTAGTTTAAGTTTATATAATATTGCTGATATATAATTAAGGAAACAATGCTGATTACGGAATATGACGTAGCTTTAGAAACTCCTTTCTCGTGTCTAGAAAAGTTTCATGTAAACAAAAGAATACATATGAAGGATACTAGTTTTCCCAGCAGCATCCAATCCTAGCATAAGAATTCGCATCTCCTTGTTGCCAAAGATCTTTGACAACAACTTGCCCATCTTGCCAGCTGCTTTCTACGCACCTGGCACCTAAACATTACAAATGTTAGCCTTTAAAATGAATTATTTACATTGTTTCTGAAAGTATTCTAGCAATATTCCAAGATATATAACAGGGTTCATTCCCCCTTTATTTTAAAATTATTCGAGAATACTTTTTAACGCTACGAACGTGATTTCTCATGTTGTCCATATATATAATTATTAAAAAACGTAGTTTAGTATAAACAACAAATTCAACGAATCTCTAACCTCTATCTCGAATTCGTTACTTTGAAATAAGAATAAAAAGTTAACGAATAATGCAACTCTTAAATATCAATAAAACTCAAGGACGATTCTCCTAACCTATCGATACTATAAGTACGATTCGAATAGATAAACGTTAACGAAATAATAAAACAGAAATAAATTTGTGACATATTCAGGACATAGCGGGGCCCACTGTTAAAAAGTGGTGAATTTATTAGAAAAAATAATGATAATAGTTCACGGAATGATACCGAACAGCCGTCGCGACAAATACGCCGATCGGTCGTGTAACTTGCATGACAATTGATGACGAATTTTTTTTTAAAGAAATCCTTCGAGTCAGCGATCACTCGAAGGAGCGTAACACGAAGCAGGCGTAAACGTAACTCACCGAAATACATTTACAAAGGGCGAGTACTTTATCATGAACGCGTAAACATATCACATCGCTGCACATTACTTATCGTTACAGCCGTAATATCGCCGCAGCATTCCCAAAAACGTTATTTAGGAATGTACAGCATGATGTCTTTTCGTAAGTCACAAGCAAACACGCGTGTAACTTAAACGAAATATCGAGATCACGTCTGTATGCATTGGGCTTTGACAGAGAATTTCAAGCGCCACCGTATGCCGCGATTCTTTACTAACCCCGTAATTGGCGATACGTTTAAAAATTTCCTATCACGTCAAACATAGATAAACCTATTTTTCTCTTACAAGCATTCGTTAGCCTGCCGTCGAGTGCAATATATTTGAAACTAAAAACGATCTACCAACCAGGATTATTATTGCACAAATGCACGAGTATTTTGATGACTCAATGCGAACCATAGTAATATCTACTATACAAACATAAATGTAGTTATCAACTACACGGTGCCCAGCAATTTCAGGCATAATCAGGAAGAGGATGTTTCATCGTTCAACGATAACACGAAAATGTGAAATGAAGCATTCTTGTACGATGTTTAGTTGAAAACAAATTTTTGTAAGTCACGCTAAGTATATAGAAATTGAAACAGTGATACGTTCCCGCCCAAAATAGAAGAAAAATAAACGATGTTTGAACGTCGTTCCCGATTATATTCGAGTATCTGCACATCTAGATGACATGATGATACACAAAGGTAGAGAGGTAATATAGTTTACCCTGTTGATTAATCTTAGACAGTGTAATTTTATACTTTATTTCATATCGTTACATTCCACGTATAATTAATTGAAAATTATCAAAACGATATAAATTAGAGATACCTTTTTCCCAGATCCAGATACGCATGCGCGTGCCGCTAATCAACCGATCAACTATAATTGACTATAATCAACCGATAAAGATTCTCTTCGATAAACGTTTGTTCGTCGAGGTTTCGCATATGTATCGCCATACATAGTTCTAATTCCATGAAAAATACATACATTTACGAGGAAATAGTTAGGCTATTTTGAGAAATTACAAAAAAAAATCAGAATATTGCTTTTATTTGGTTTCGAGCGATATTATTTAATGATTAAACCGATCGAGTAAACCAATATCCATGGAGACTACGAATCCTCTCCTCGAATGAATTTCGATGTTATCTTCGGAAGTGTTAGGCTCCCAAATATATTAGTAATGTATGGCCGGAATGCAAGGTCACACGTTCGCTTCGCAACCTTTCACTTTTCACTCTCGCTCGAAGCCAAATAGTATTTGTAATTTTCGTAAAATTCACGAAATCAGTTGTAATCGATCGGTAATCAGCCATAGTGAAATTTGTAAACATCGTGTGGCTACGAAAGGTTACAGTTTACACTGTTTACAGTCTCGACGTTTGCGATCGAGACTCTCTGAGCGAGAAACGATGATATTTTACGATCGTCGAGAAGCCTTCGTAAAAGTAAAATATGCTGGAAAGGAAAAGGAGAATCGACAGAGCGGCCGGACGAGTGAGAGAGGCCGATAAGAGAAATCGAATCAAACGTGCTACGTGGAATCGTGAAAGTGAAGGTATACCCCGCTCTACCTATGAATTGGGTTAGGTTGCGAGCCACGACAGGATACCTGTTGCTCGACACGTTTTAAATATATTCTCGCCGATGTTCGACTAGAACTGCGACACTGACATATATCGTGAGACTGGTTTATAACATTGATGATAACGGTGGTACGATAACGGGATACGCTGATCGTTGGCAGTGCTCTCGCGATTGTCAAACAGGAAACATACGAATATGGAGCAACTTCGTACAAGTCTTGCCGACTGCGGCCAGGAACATCTGTTACGATTCTGGGATCAACTGTCAGAGGAGGAGAAAAATGAGCTCCGAAATGATTTGCTCGAATTAAATCTCCCAGAAGTGACATCTTACTACCGGAAGACAGCATATGCTTCTTTTATTACCCATATGGATACGCTAGATGACAAAGTATCTCCTATTCCTAAAGAGAGTATCGCATCGCTCAACTCCACGAACAAGGATCAACTGAGAATATACGAGAAATTGGGATTGCAAGAAATAGCAGATAGTAAGGTAGCAGTGTTATTGATGGCTGGAGGCCAAGGTACTCGACTGGGTGTGTCTTATCCTAAGGGCATGTATAACGTTGGTTTACCTTCTGGTAAAACGCTTTTTCAATTACAAGCGGAAAGAATACTTCGTTTGCAAAATATGGCAGAGAAGGAATATGGAAAACGAGGAGAAATAACTTGGTATTCATTTTTTTTAATAGATGTAACAACTCACAATAACATAAAAGTTCTTTGTTTCTAATGGTTCATTATTTTTCATTAGGTACATATTAACGAGTGAAGCTACTCATGATACGACTCTTGCCTTTCTCTCCAAGCACAATTATTTTAATTTAAAAAAAGACAATGTCATAGCCTTTAAACAAAGTATGTTACCGTGCTTCACGCTCGAAGGTAAAATTATTTTAGATGAGAAACACAAAATTTCTAAAGCACCAGATGGAAATGGAGGATTGTACAGAGCTATCAAGGTTCAAGGAATATTGGACGACATGAGACAACGCGGTATTCGTAGTGTCCATGCTCATTCCGTTGATAACATCTTAATAAAAGTAGCAGATCCTATTTTCCTAGGATATTGCTTATCTTCGTCTACCGATTGCGGAGTTAAAGTCATAGAAAAGTCATCGCCGAATGAACCAGTAGGAGTCGTGTGTAAAGTCGAGGACACTTATCGAGTCGTCGAGTATAGCGAAATTTCAAAAGATACAGCAGAATTACGTGACGACGATGGACAGCTCGTGTACAATGCAGCAAATATATGTAATCACTACTTCACCGTAGATTTTCTATGCACTATTGGTAACGAGTATGAAACAGAAATGGAACTGCACGCTGCTAAAAAGAAAATTCCGTACATCGACGCGGATGGATGTAGACGGATACCTGTATCTCCGAATGGTATTAAGATAGAGAAGTTCGTATTCGATGTATTTAAGTTCGCCAAACGGTTGGCTGTCTGGGAAGGAATCCGAGAAGAAGACTTTAGTCCTCTCAAGAACGGGGATTCTGCTGGTCAGGATTGTCCGAGCACTGCTCGCAATGACGTGCTTAAGCTTCATAAGAAGTGGTTACTAAATGCTGGAGCAACAAGTGTTACGGACGATGTAGAGGTGTCCCCTTTATTATCGTACGCAGGAGAAAATTTGAGCCACGTACGAGGGCAATCGTTTAACGGACCTTACGTTCTGCAATAATGCACCTAATTTCATTCGGGAGTTTTTACAGGAATGAGACTACGATATATCCTTATACATACTCGTTAAAAAAAATCCCCGATTCGCTACGTGAATACACGTTTAATTTTTCTGTGATTTAATGAAAAAATATAGATTTTAAGAACTTTTAACGATTATATAGAAATTTTATACAAGTGATATAGAAGAATATACCTTCGTAAAGTAAATAATCTCAAAATGATAATAATGATCGGATAAATTTGTAAGAATTCTTCGTATTATGTATAATAGAAATCAGTAACGCGTTTAATTGTATAATAAATATTGACAATTTGTACATGTATATGAAAAAATGTAAAACAAAATTCATATATTTTGGCACAATGCATTTACATAAATTTTGTATAGTTATTGCAGTTGTAATAAAAAAAAAGGGAGGGTGTTTAAGACCAACGAAGAAATTGATATTTATTTGTATGCAATGCATAAAAGTAATAAAGTTACGATATAATTTATTAAAGGATTTGAATTAGAAAAATTAGAAAATTTTGATCTAGCTCTAAGAATGAAGCATAGTATACATTTGTGTATAAACTAATTTATTGTTATTTTCTTATAACGTACAATAAATAGTTCATCTAGGAAGGCCATTGCTCAGTGAGCGGGTGCTAGTGGCGCAATCGGTGGGAAAATGTCCAAGTTTGCAGAGAAAATAGTTCTCACCATTTCCGTAAGATGGCGCCAGCAATGGTTATGGTTTTTTCCATCTAGCGTTGAAAAGACCGAACTAATTTTCCATGGCGCCATCTAGTATGAATACTAAAAACTATTTTCACTACAAACTTGGGTGTTTTCCCACCGATGGCGCCACTACGACTAAAATTCTCTCACTGAGCTGTAGCCTTCTGAATGCACCTAATTATACAGGGTGTCCCAATAATGTTGTAACACCTTGAAAGAGGTGGTTCGGGAGGTGATTTGAAACAACTTTTTCCTTAGCGAAAATGTTGTCCGAGGCTTCGTTGAGGAGATATTAGAGGAAAACACTGACCAATCAGAGCGCGCGGATACCGTTAGCGCGGCCGCGGTAGCGAAGGGAACGCGCTAAGCGGCCGCGTCCAATGTCCTTCGATGCACGTCGAGTCACTTGTTCGCGTACAAGCGCGGCCGCTTAGCTCGTAGCCTTCGCTACCGCGGCCGCGCTAACGGTATCCGCGCGCTCTGATTGGTCAGTGTTTTCCTCTAATATCTCCTCAACGAAGCCTCGGACAACATTTTCGCTAAGGAAAAAGTTGTTTCAAATCACCTCCCGAACCACCCCTTTCAATGTGTTACAACATTTTTGGGACACCCTGTATATTTGTATTTCCATATATAAGAAATACGTTAAACTTTATGCTATTAAAAGCTTAAAAATGATTTCTTCGAATATAGAATTATTCCAAAGCTTGCAGTGAATTAGATTTCTTTGTTACCGAAGAGAAAGCGGTACTAACCTAGCGTTACCTTTTAAATTGTTACTGGTTGGTACTCTTCCTATAACAGTTCATTGGTTCCATTCAGTTCCATTTGAATTTGAATCGTTGAACGTAACTGTTGTAATTAATGTGAAACACAGAGTCAAGAGGAAGTATGTTTATGTGAAAAGTGGATCATTGTTCGTTAATATGGAAGAAATTTTCCAAATGTTCTATAAATATAGTTTGAATGACGAAGAAGTGTTGGACATTGAAAATTCCTTGCAAAATGTAAATGAAGATGTTGAAAAATTACTCGTGAACGCTAAGTGTAACATAGGATCTGTCGAGTATGCAAATCTGAATAAGATGCTTGCCATTTGTTATTTAAAGGTATTATCTCTGTATCGATAGTGTCTTATTACCAATATATTTATAAGTATTGTTTATAGATGGGTAACGAACTCGAAGCCATATGTCGTTTAATCGAGTCGCATGCAGTAATACTTCGTCAACAAATATCGCACAGGTACATGAAGATGAAGGTGCGGGAATCATATTTAGATACTCAACAGTTCTATGGGCTAAAGCCTGCCTATGTCCAATTCGGTGTAAACAATGCAAATAGCGTCGATAATGTAAAAGAGAAACTGCACGATTTACCTAAAGGTAAAATATATCACACAAATACATTTTCCAAAAATATTAAGCATATTAATTATTTAGGCATTTTTGTTTAATATACAGAATGGTACGTAATTCAAATTACTGAACAACACAAGTCTCCGGACATTTCCGAATGTTGCAAATCCACGATTAATGCAATGCACGCAATACACATTATCATACTACCAACAGGTTCCAAGGAAATAGAACCTTTGTGTATAACATTACCAAAACCTAAATTGCAATCATCCTATGACATTTGTTACGAAATTCAAAAAATTCTATCTAACAATAGATCAAAATTGGAAGCTACTTATGAGAACAATGAACTATATTGGAAAATGCGCAATCGACAAAATACTAACATGAAGGTATTTAGGATGCTAATAAGTTTAATATTTTCTGTGTGAATGTATACATGCATATATGTGTAAATTAAAGACAGCTATACGTACATTAGAGTACTCGTGGTTGAGAGAATGGAGAATCTTGTTCATGGCAGATCCGATAGACAACATTGATTTAGTAGCAGATATTGTAGAAATGATCGATAAACTCATATTAGACAACAAAATACAGTAAGTATGTCTCAAGATCGGTGAAATTTAATTTTAAGACCTAAAGTACTTTATATATTACAGTTGTACCATACCAAAGCGTTCTGTGTGGTTATTGAAAAAGATAGCGCTCGGTGCGTGTTTTCTTACTCGAGAAGAAATAGCACGCGCGGTAAAGTATGTGCTACCTACATGCGACAAACTTGCTGACAATGTTATATTGTCCATATATGGAAAATTGTCATGTATAGTAGAATTACAAAATGCAACTAGGAAAACATTAGTTTTAATTGTCGATGAAGTAAGCGTATCATCTTGTCGTATATAAAATATGAGCTAAATTAAATTGCCTAATTTCATGTATTTTTTAAATATATTTCAGCATATGGATTGCATACCTTTCGAGTCCATGGAAATCTTGAAGTGTCATCCGATTACTCGTTTTCCATCGCTACACATTGCTTATGCTTTATTTAAAGAGCACGAAAGTACAATGGAAAACGGTTGTAAGATAATTAGAGTTAAAAGGGATATGGGAACCTGTATAGTTAACCCATCGGGTAATTTACCTAAAATGGAAAGACGCATGCGACTCTTTATCGAACACTGGTTACCAAATTGGAGGAGCTGGTACAATGTCGAACCAGAAGAAGAAGTTTTCGAAGACGCTTTAATCAATCGTGATATATTAATGTATGATCATTTAAAATGTTATCGTTTCGTTATTCGTACTATGTTATGCAGTATGCTATCCAATAGGTATAACGGTCATGGTAGCGGGATACAATATTTACCAGGAGAAAAAATCGAAAGACTTAGAGTGAAGTCAATCGTTTTATTATTTGGCTGTAGTAGTGTAAAATTACTTGTAGTAGGAGGACGATTTCCACCATATGGTATTTCAAATCAGTATTTAATAGCGAGCAGGTAGTAAATTACAAGACTTACGAATTATTATATATAACTTAATATATAATTTAAATTTGATTTTTATGAAAATCAAGTATTTAATTTTTAGCCCCTGCGTGCTCGGTATGTTATGGGAAGTTACAGATGCTGATATCGATAAGATGACTACAAATTTCATTAGCAGTTGGATTCCATCGCCGTCAAACAGACCATGGACCGATGTCGATATTCATATGTGGTGCACAGGTACTCTAAGTTAGTATCAAAAAAATTATACTGTTTTTATTTTCGTCATCTTTAGACTAATTTTACGACTGCGTTTTATTCGGATTTTTGTACGATTAGAATTTTTGAAAAACCCACAAAAAAGTACTCAAGATGCGCCTCAGGAACCTGAGATGTTAAGGGCGGTGGCAAAATCTAAAGATGCCTGTTCTCAATATATGACCGCGGCTGCGGTAGTGGTACGAGGACTACCGGTAAAGTTGATATAAATTATAAATGTTTAAACAATATAAACGAATATAATTATTTGATACTAGTTTACGTGTAATTAAAAAAGTTGATAAAAATTTTGTGTGTATAAAAAATCTCGTAGTTTGGTCATTTATAATGCCCAGTCTGTCTATTTCGAAATATTGTCTTTGGTCACATAATTATTTGCGGTTCCGGTACAGAACTAGATATACTTTTATGAGGTAAAACTTGACCACCATTGATGTATAATTCATCCTTAACGATTACATCTTCGCCAAGTACAGTTATACCTTCCATCCGTACCCAACGTCCTACAACGCTCCTCCAGCCTACGATACACCTGTAACAATATTTGTCACCTTATTAGCATACGATGTTATTTAACGAAGATAGTACGGTCCACGATTATGGTAAAGTACTTTGAAGTCAAAACAATTTTAGACGTTTAATTTCAAACTTACCCATCTAGCCACGCATGTTCTTTTATTATAGCTGATTTAAGGATGGTGCTTCTTTTAATGCAGCATCCATCAGATAATACAGCTCCAGGACCAATTGTGACGTTAGGACCTATCCTGCAGTCTTTACCGATCTTTGCTGTTTCGTCTATTAAAACGTTACCTATTACACCTGGACCCGAATATAACTTTTCCGGTGATTTTTGTCTTAGAGATGTCAGGTACATACTCATTCCTGCATAAATCAAACATAAAGAGATTATTAATCAAAGTTGAAGAGAAAATATCTTCAAAGTATATACCTTTAAGAAAATCTTTCGGTTGTCCTACGTCCATCCAAAATCCTGTTAAATCCATCGCGTACAATTCTCCGTCCTGGGCCATCAGCGGAAAGACTTCTTTTTCTATACTCGTAGGCTTCAATTCTATTCTTCTTAGCATGCTTGGATTGAAGATGTACATACCTATAAAATCACAATATTTATAGCAACAAAATTTTAAAAGAGCAGTCAATGTTTTAATTCAACATAAAAGAGACAACACCTGCATTTATTTTATTAGAGATAAATTCTTGCGGTTTTTCTACAAAGCTTTCTATTTGCCCATTGTCTTTGTAAACAACCACTCCATACTTGGACGGCTCTTCTACTTTAGTAACAACAATCGTTCCTTCTTTACCATGATTTTTATGGAAATCGAGAAGTTGCTTGAACGGAAAATCGCAAATTATATCGGAATTTAAAACAAAGAATGGCTCGTCCCCTGAACTTAAAAGATCGCGCACTAGCGCGAGTGGTCCTGCGGTACCAAGAGGTTCTGGTTCGTGTGAAAAAATTAAGTTTACTCCTAGTTTTTTTGCTGCATCACCCAAATCTCTTTCCATTTCCTCTGCACGGTACGAGACAGCTAATATTACCTCTGTTACATTTGTTTCCACCTAAAGATTACATTCGCTTTGTTTAATCAATGGAAGAGGTATGGATAAGTCAGAAAAATGTTGTAACATACCAGAGCCTCTATTTGATGTAAAAGCATTGGTTTATTTGCAAACTCGACTAATGGTTTAGGTCGACTCAAGGTGAGTGGTCTCAATCTAGTTCCATAGCCACCGACAAGAATTAATGCACGCATCGTTCCTGATTTCTTCCTCTTCTGTTGCATTATTCTCTAGTGTTTCTGTTAAAATGTATTCACAACATAGATTACATATTGCATTTAATAACTTAGACTTCTTTCCTAAAAAATGTGCAAGTATAAATATTAAAAAATATTTCAATTCTTTGAACCACAAAAGAGAAGTTAAAAATATTGTGTGGTATTTTTTAGCGAATACGTATGCCTATTATACACGATAAAACAATTCTATTCGTGATCGAGTAGATATTTTCTAAAAAACACTTGTTCAAAAGTATAGGAAGATTCGTGAAAATGCCAATAAAATTGCTACGCGTACAGTAAATTTACTTGAGCGTTTTAATTACACCGTATTCACTTTTTATAAACGCTTATGGTATCCATACCTGCTATCTGCGATCAGCTTGTCAGAGTAAATCTCTAAAATAATTATTCCTGTTGAACATTGCCACGTATGATTGAAATACCGCGTAGACGTGCGTGTATTAGTGACACATATACAAGATAACATGCATACGGTTATTGGTACTATACAATCGTATAGTATCGAACACTGTATATTTAATATTTATGACGTTACTCTTATCGAAATTTCTATCTTCCACCTTTGAGTAAGTCTTTTTTTTTCATAGTTAACGTAATCCCACAAATTGTTTATCAACGATTACATCTCAATACGGACTACATTATAATTCATTTATCATTTCTACGTACGATATAGACAAGCGATTCATTTTTCAAATTCGTATCGTTAAATCCATGTTTACGATTCTATTTTTCCTCTTTCCTCGTTTAATATACTTTTTTCCATGAATTAGGGAATTCTTTACGTCTCGCGTAACATTCCAGAATTTAACGAACAAGATATACAGTTATCGTAACAAGCACACTAAATTTCGGTTACCTTTATTCAACGATAACATTTTAATCGAGTTACTTTCAAAAGGCACCTGCATTTTCAAAATTGATAGTTAATCGAAGAGCATTACGAGAAAAATATCACGCAATCTGTATTTTTCATGACATGTTTATCTCTCAGTTTCTAAACATCAAAATTCTGGTGGACAACCCTCGCTGAATTCGAAGAAGAACTCAGATTGTACGTTTTTGTTCGATTATCATTAATATAAAAAAAGAAGAATAAACATCGCACAGGAACGCAACGTTGCTGTATCAAATCTATCGTGTCGGTCATAGCGAGTCATGGCACGTTAACCTGCGTTAACCTGTGCGCCTGCGCCACAGTACTAGTTTATGCATGGTATCGCAAAACAAAAAGACAATCGTGTTAAAACCGATTCCGTTTCTTCTTCGTACTAATTTCACGAACAGAGAAAAGAGAAAACAATGTAACCGATGTCACGCGTAATTATTTCATCCTTTTTCCTTTCGAATCATTTCATTTGTCGTGTTTTTCTCCGACTCGTTTCTTTCTTATACATATATTCGTCGCGACATATTTTCGTGTGAAAATATTTACACCTATAGAAGTCATCGTAACGTTACATGGTTACGTCAACGATTAAATAAGATAAAGTAATAATTTCAAATGAGAACGTTAAAAATTGGTAGTATTTTGTTTGTTACTTTGGATTTAGATATTATATGCGTCGGTGAGTTTCCATGATACGTGGTATTGTATGCAAGGCCGCCACTAGATTTGCCAGCTCCCCGATGCAATTTCTAATAGAAGTGTTACCCATTCGAGGAGCAAATTATACGAATTAAATATACATAAAATCAGAGTTTTTAAGTTTAAAGTAACTCGTATCAAATAACATAAAGCAACATATTACATAAAAATATTACTCTGACGAGTCGATTCGAAGCTGTCCTTGCTTTCAAACTAGAAAGTTCGTCGACAAGTTTTTTAGCTTACATGGAAACCTACATTCGACATCGCAACTGCGTTTTCTTTATTATTAATTTTTTAATTATTTTTCGCTTCTCGAGGTATCTCTCGCGAAAAGTTTCCACGTAAAGACAACCTTGGTTGTATTTCGCTTGGAACGATATTCGACGAGAGCAAGACTTATCGAAGAACAATCGTAAAATTGCAAAGTTTTATCGAAATGGCGGGCAGTGAAATGTAGAAGAGTGGGGTGTGGGGGGTAGTAATCATGAATATTCCTTGGAAGAAGCGTCGCCGATTGTAAATGCGCGTTTAAGGTTGGACGGTTCACGGGAAAGCCGCAAGATGGCGTAATACGTGCGACGCTGCTTTTGACGTTCGCGTATGAGTTTTTTTTTTGGTTCCTTCTACTTTGAAAACGGCAGGAAGCGAAAATTGTTGGTACGGTGCTTAGTGCTCGCTGGTCTGACTGAGGATGTGGTGGAAAGTGTTGAGTACGATAGGAGAGATTCAACAGGAAAGGATTTCGATTTCGAGCACATAGTACGCGAGACACACGAGGTCCCGCGATTGGCCAGTTTATGAGACGACGATGGCTCCGTGAGGAGAGGAGAACATGGCTGCGACGCAAGCCGAGAGCCAACAAAACGATGTGAAGCTGAACGAGTCCGTGAAATGCGCACAGAAACGTCCGCAAGTTGGTGGGAATAGTGCGAGTGTTAACACGAAGCAGCAGCTGGATCCAGAGCCGGGTGATAAAGTGCCCCGGGGCGCGGCCCAGCTGCTTAAATATGTGAATCGCGGCGGGGACACGGGTTTCGAGATGAGTCAATACCGCGAGGACATTGGTGGACACACTGCCGGTGAAGTAAAATCACCCAGAGAGGCTGGTCAGGCGCCTCAAGAATCTATCGGCAAGCAGGAGCCTCTCGACGCGCCCGGGCATCCGAACCATCCCGGACATCCGTTTACGCCGAACGTTATTCGCGATTACTCCGACGAGTATACCAACAAATCGAACGAGTTTCCCTCCAAGTCGTTGACCGATTATCCGGGCAAGCAGATACCAGAGTACGTGGGAAAGCATGGAGATTTCCCAGGGAAACAGTTGGACTATCATAGTAAACACTTAATACATGAAAGTGAAAGAGTTCATCGGGCAGAAATGGAAGAGCATTATGCAGCTTCCAAGATTGAATCGCGATTGGCATACGTAGGAGCTACACCGAGCAGTTTCACGGGGCAGCCCAGGTTTCTATCGGGACAAAGTATATCCCAAGCTACCGGTCCAACCCCGACATTGAATCAGTTGCTTCAGGCCTCCACGCCTGTGCATCGGTTTCATGGAAACTATCCTGGAATGGGGCCAGAGCCCTATCAACAACCTTGGCCCATACAGCGACCTCCGGTCGTTCCTCCAGTTTATCCACAACCTGGTCAACGGCCTCCACAGACGGTACTTTTCTAACAATATTCCTCCTTACGTAAAATACATTACATATATTTTCAAAAGCAAAACAAGCTGAATTTTTACTTGGACCTTACTTTAATATTTTGTTTTTGATAGGCTATGTATGTTTATTTATTATCTCATATTTGCATATGTTGCACGATAAACAGGGATCCCCGAGACTACATGCAGGACCCGGAGGACCAAGTTCTCCGACTCCTATGCCATATCAACAATATACACAACGTTATTCTTCTCCTACGAGACCACATGCACCGTATAGTCACCATCAGGTACATTTACATAATGCATTTTTGCAAATTTATCAGATCATATAGTAATTATGGATAAATTTTTTGATAAGGTTATAATTAATGTTAATTCAATTGTCGCATGTTCTAGCTAAACTCTTATACTACGCAAACCAGCCATCCTTCCAGTCTATATACAGAACAGAGGGGTTGGAATCAAGGTGGACCACCAAATCCACCACCACCCCCAACCAATCAAGCTAATCCTTCCAGTCAGTCACCGCAACGTGCACTTTCTCAATCTCCAGCACCACCTCCTTCGGCATCTCCACAACCACAAGCGACAGGCCAATCACAAGTAAGTACAGCCAGTCACAAGTAATATAATATATTCCCTGTTTATTCCAAAATACATTTTGATTCCAACTTCTTATCGAATATATTCTCAAGGAACATAGAAGATATAAATGTACGAACGTATGATTAACGTTTTATTTTGATCGTGAATGTACGTAAATTTTTTTCTGCGCCTAAACAAAACAGTTTGTTCGCTTTATTTTACATTACCTATTTGCACGTAAAACAAAGTTTTCGAAACGGTATTAATTATCACAAAACATAACGTAAATTAACATATATTTATAGATGTAAGGAAATCGAGATCTTTTTGTTTGTAAAGAAATAGTTGTATACCACCTTTTAAACGGTCGTCTTTGTATACATAAGCATTATACATTATCGATTCTATAGCATTTCGATTCTGTACGGAATACATAACGAAAATGGATTTTCTAAAAAGAAGGAATTTTATTTTTTCTGTTTACAGAGTTTTCACAATCTACAGCAACGATCCACAACACCAAATACTCAAGGAATCGATTCAGGGGTGAGTGTTTAGTTATGTCAATGCCGAATTAACATAATATATCGTAGAAAACTCTCTAAAACGATACTAACGAATCCTTAGAAATCTTGCTTAACGATTACCTTGCAATTATCAACGCAAGGAAAAAGATTACGATCCCTGACGTTTCTTTCGAATTTCGCGTATCACGCTTTAATTTTAATTATGGAGCACATGCGCACGAATGCACGTGTGTGCACGTGTTATTGTTATTTTATATTTGTACTCGACGATTGATTCGAGTTGATTAGAAATTACGAGAAAGAGCCAAAGGACGAAGTCGCGTACGTCGAACGAGAGCTAGTATCGCTAAGCAATTCTAATTTCGCGTTGCATAAAGTGCCATTTGATCTTGGATACAGTGGTTGGGAGGTACTTCGATACTTCCCTCGTGAAAAGAGCAAGCATGAGTGAGCGAAAGGGAGACCTCTTGAGTATGGTTTGCCTACGGAAGGAGGGGCAGGGTGTGGGAAGTGGGGATGGAGAATAAGCGACTTGTAGAGTTCGATTAGGGCGCGAGTTGCGCGGCCGCTGGAGCCCCAGATATTAGCGACTTCCCCTTCTCTCTCGCTCTCTCGGTGTGTACGCGCGTACGTGTGTGTCCTCCCTCACCGTTGGCTGTCTCCTTTCCAAACGTACACAGTTGCACGCGTGTCGCGCTCACGCATCCCTCCCACGGTATATTCGATCTCTCGCTTCTTCCAATATAGATGGGCGGGTTAGCGAGAGGTCCGTGTGTAACCTATGGTACAGGAGCGAGCAAGAGCGAGTGTGCGATTCGTTGGACGCGGTGGTGGGGAGAAAACAGAGTATCCGAAGCAGTTCTCCCCACCACTTCTGACGTTTTATATCGTTCAGCTATATTCGGTTCGTTAGATCATGCAACTGTCACTCTGCGACATGCTATCGAACTTCTCGTATTCCCATGACGCGGCTGAAAAGTGTCGAATAGTTTAAACGTTCGATGAATAGTATTGTTTTGAATGACGTTCAACGGGAGCTATTTCCTCGTACATAATCGGTAACTTTTCAGATCTGCATAAATCGTGTTTGTTGGTCGCGAATCTAGGCGTATCGATTAAAATCTTTTATTTTACGAGTTGTGTCTTTTACGTAAGTTAAGGAACGAGAGTCACGCGTCTGGCCGTGTAATATTCCATACATCTTTTTCTCTGTTTTTGCATCGCGGCTACGAGATAATTCATTTTATGTGCCGGTAAATTCTCGTTCGATTATTACACCATTTACAGCATGTTGGATAGGCGTGCTTTCGATGCTCGCGATGCTTTACAAAAGTTGAACGTACTTCAATTTAGAATGGCTATTGTGTCATTGAATCGGTCTTGTTGCGATAGCGATGTTACGGCATTGACAGATAAAAATATTATTATATAATATCCTCGATATCTTGCATCAACGTAAATTTACTCCTGTTTTATTATCTACTTAGTTTACTACGTAACACGCACGTTCGCTTCGCGCTAATAAACAACCTTTTATACGATGACGCCCTATTTATGCAGTTACTTCTATAGAAAATGACACGTGTAAAATATTTCGAACCATTCACGAGGCGAATATCGTAAACTTTCGACAATCGTTAATTTTCGAAAAAAGATAGACAACATAGACAACAGTTACATCGTTAGAAATATAAATCTGTAGGAATTGGAACAAGGATTTATGTATCTTATTTGATCGATACATTATATTTCCATTTAGTTTG